CAGAGTGACTTCGATCTACAAGATATCGTATAAGATTGCAAAAATATAAGAATTTAAGACAAGGCACTTGTTCTGATCGAAGCATATTTCTCAGAGTTTCTCAGGTATTGGTTTTAAAAGCTCCTTAGATTGAGATTGGAGTGGTGTCCTCATAATAGGATGCTATTTTACGTTCATAATTTGATATGCTGATTTTCTGAACTTAGACCTTCACTTATCGTGGTCGTGGCTACCACTACGACCCGAAAAGCAACGGCAGTGGAGATCATTCGCCACCCCTTTTTCCTGGGCGTGGCCGTGGTCAGTGCGGTGGTGCTGGTTTTTTGCGACCAGGTGGAGCAGGTCCTACGGGAGGTGCTTGTGGCGATAGTTACTGCACTGTAGGTTACAGCCGGGTCGCCAGCGGGTTAGTCGGTGATCGTGGAAGCTGTCCACGAGGACGAGGTGGCATTCGTGGTGGATGGGCCCAGGGCTTTGGTCGAGGCTTCCAGCGCCAACATCATAACTCGGAGAGCTCGCACATGAATGTTAGTCAGATTTGATGTTTTGGTTATTTCAACGCGCATACTTATTCAAATTAATGCAAATTGCATGCTTAAAAAGATATGGTGACTCCTTGACTATCTTGCAACCACTATTTGTCTCTAGTTTCTGCAGGGAAATAGCATTTTACTGTAAGACCATGATGGAAATTCGTAAAATATGAATAAACAGCTGTCTATATGAGTCGATTTCGAAATTTATAGAAGTTATTTGACCTTGTTTTCGCAACTTCGTCATATTATCAGTAAGACCTACAGGAACGCACCTTGTCCGGAGTCCATGATGATTTCCAGTCGGACCGTGGACCTAATACATTCCTAGACGTTTTGCCGGCATCGTCAATGAGCCCTATCATTCTTATCACCACACCACAACGCCTCAGTGATAAGTGAAGCCGATCCTTTGACCAATTTTCTACTAAGAATTTATGGTATCTCTCATCCTTGTATATTTACTTATCATATATCCTCGCAAAATCTTCACTATCACAATTTCTTAGTGGTTTATCTAAACCTACTTCAGGTATGCCCTTTTGAACAGATTTAACTAGAATTGTCATTCTTAGCAGCATACTACAACACGTAAAGAAGACAAATCCAAAGATCGAAGACGACAGAGTCCTTCAGCAGACAATTGTCACAGGATCGACTTCGCTTGTCTCTGGCAGGTTTAGTGTGGTGCTAAGAGTGGCAAGGCTCATTGACGATGTCGGTGAAACATCTAGGAATGTACCAAGTCCACAGTCCGACTCTGGAAATTATCATACATAATATGGATTCCAGACAAGTTGCCTTCCTCTAGGTCTTCCTGCCAATACGACCAAGTTGAGAAAAACAGGCCTAAACAGCTTCTATACAACGAAAGGAGATCGCGACCGTACAAAATGTCTTGATGACATCCTTGTTACTGAATGCCTTCTCAAATCCAGTTTTTTTGGAAATGATTGTTAGCTAATTTTATTCTTTTCTTGAATAATGATTTGACCTGACGACGAATGTCCCCAATTAGGTGATCCTAACAGCTGTGAGATATTATAAAACAATAGAATGTATGCATTGCATTAACATAAGTTATCTATGGTTATAGAAGTTGTTTGACCTTGTTTTCGCAACTTGGTCATAATGGTAGGAAGACTGATAGAAACGCACC